ATATATCGATAAAATACCAATCTCAATAACTGATGGTAAATCGTATTCTCATGATAGTGATTGTTTTTATTATCAATATTAATGTATATAATCTACTCACTCACTCACCCACTAAGACACTGATGATAATAAAAACAAACGTTGGAACGATAACAAACTGTGCAATACGCGGGAACCACATACGAAACCAAAGCCTGAAATTCATGACTTGAAGACTGAAGATTCTACTAGCGAAGACAATTTTTGCTGACTATGAATATACGTAGTTTTTACGTAGGACTGATTGTGAATGAAGAATCAGCCAAATGAAGAATAATAAACATAATAAACGATAAACCCATGAGCTATACCAAGCATGCTCATTGATAAAAAACGTGTTGATGTATTGGAATAACTCCCTTACCTACGGAAAACGAACATTTCATAAGTACAATAAGACTTCAGAGAATTGAAGAGTATTCCTGAGCAGTTATTTTTCATTATAAATTCGATATCTTGCAATGTATTTGTGATTGAATTCCTCCCAAAAGGATGTGTCAGAAGTAGTATGTTCAGCCTTTCGAAGGTAGAAGTATGGGGAGCTGTGGTAATTTATTCTTGGTTCCGGAGATGAAGGGGCAGCTTTAGCTGAGACCAAAGAAATAAATGAATTATTGTTAAGCTAAATGAAACGGGTACATGCACTATTCACAAGTTTTTTGTCGTATATACGCATGATGAGGTCGGCTGATAATTCTACAATAAATTCATCATTTTGCGAGAGCTCTAATCAATTCGTGTTAAGATAAACATATTTTAAAATTTTCATACCATTGCCATTTTGTTTGGAGAGACCCGCATATAATAATAAAGATATACGTTTATTCATTCAGTTCATTCATACTCATTGGTATTCCATTATACGAAAATAATTATATAGTTCACAAATACATTGTTACATGAAACAATAGATACATTCAACTGGAAATAGAATGAACAAGAGTTGTTTCCGAAAGAGGGTTGACATTTTACATTCCACCAGTTAAGACGTACTCCATGCCATGAGGTTCGTGAGGAGGGTTATTGAGTTGATAAAAATGATCAGTTCAGAAAAGTTATAACTAGTGTTGAAGCGACAACTTCACCAATCGTTTCTGCAGTAAATTGATAATGGGTATTTGTTGACCCAAGGAAGTTAGTAGATGGTGATTGAAAAGGAACATTCTCAGATATATTTATGAACACAAAAAAATTGATATATATATATATATATAAAAAGAAATACATTGAGAACTCGCATTCTCCATGTGATGAAAATATCAATTCTTTCACGGTTCATTCAACAGAAAACAGTCACTTTCCTGGCTATATATGCCACGACGAATATTAAATTACATATATTGAACACACACGATGAGAATTTGAAAACAAGATTTTCTGAAGTAGAGAATTTGCATTCTCCTTCATATAAAGATATGCATATAATATAATTCTGAATATGCAACAGGAAACAACTATACTTTCTTGGCTATTTGCCACGTCGAACATTGAATTATATCTGTTGAATATCCAGAAACAGAGCATGAAAGATCGAAATCCTCTGAAATTGAGAATTAACATCATCTCTCAAATCGAATAGAATATGATGTATTATGATATAAAAATATAACTTACCGCGATACGTTCAGTATTGAAATGAAAATTGAAATGTATAGGGGAAGTATACTTGTATGAACTCTGATCTTGATGAGCTTGGAACTTCCAAAGAAAATCATTCGTATCAGTGATATGGGAATTATATCTCTCACAAACAGGTTATATGAACAGGATATCATATCCTAATCAGTAACCTGAAGTCCAGTTATTCTTTCAGCCATTCTTTTTGAATTACACAATTTTCATCTCCCTATAATATAACTAAAACTACAACGAACTGAAATCTGAGAATTACAATTTCTGATGAAGAAAAAGGAAAAAAAAAACTACTAGTACACACTTCTTAAATAACTACTTATATATATACACTTCTTAACTAACGCTATCACTAAAGATAAAATGAAGCAGAGTAAGACAGGATTCAATCTCAGATATTGAAAATACTTCAACTTGCTCGGTGATAATAAATATTTTTCAAATCCATCGACTGACGTGCTAAAGTACGAGAGAGAAGCCAATTTTCAATTTCCTTTTGAAACGATGTATTGAACTCAGTTCATTCAGTTCAGTTGGTATGTCATTGAGTATTTTTCGAGGTATTTTTGGTCCAAGAAACATAAAGGATCGTTGGGTTATGGTTTCGTCTCGGGTTTCGTCCACAGAATGCACTATATGATATAGTTATATTTGGATCGTGTAGAGTAGGGAATTAGGGATGTTCAGTATATTTTTTTGTTTTCTTTTTCTATTCAACGCGAAAGTTAAGAAGAATAGTTGTCTCAAATCCACAACGTAACTAAGTTTGAATAGTTCGTTTGTCGGATACATTATAGGCTTGTATACGACAATACCAATTTCAAATTAAAATTCAAAACTTCTTAATTTTTCAATAGAAGACACTATATACGATGTTCAATTCTCAATATTTGACCTTTGCATAATTCAGTCCAATAAATGAGCATCCATTGCAATTTCAATCCTCTGATACAAAATGTTGACTGGCCGAAATACATATTGGAATGATTATATAGTGTTGAATAGACGATCATCCACACCGGTGACGTAACTATCTCATATGAGTATCATGAGATGAGTGGTTCAAAAATTATGGTCAAGTTTTTGTTCCAGACGATGTCCCGTCAGAAAAAAATAGTTCTCTCGGTATTAATAATGGCTTATTGGGAAATATACACGTGAACCAAAATGAAGGGGACGTTATAAATGGTGAGTATATACTGAATTATTTTAAATTCACGCAGTTTCATTATTGGGTGATCAATCAAAACACAAAACATTCTCTATTCAATTCGGAAATATTGACGAAGCTAGAATTCGAAATATCATCAGGAAACCACGTCAACGTCTTATATATAACACCTCATTTCGATTATCGCTCCAATTTCGGAAAGACCCAATATATCTATATATATATATATATTACAATTTTTCACTGAAATAGAAACGACTTTTTTCAAATAATCTCTTAGCTTGTTAGCAATTATTTCATATCCTACTTATTCATCAAATAAATACAATACTCTCAATATTAATTACTCATTGATCTCTCACCCAGGTAAATGGTGCACAAAAAATAATGAAAGTTTCTTGACCTTAGCTGTTAGTTTGAATCTGGAAGGCACCAACGTTGAAGGAACATCAATATGTCTCACGTGAGTATCTACACCCTATCAAATTTGAAGAAAATTCAAGTCCATATCATTTATGACGCCAAACTTCCAGGTATTCGAATGAAGATTCAACTTCATCTGAAAATTTGTTGACAAACCAGGAGGACATTGTTAGTTTGTGAGTACTTGAAAAACGCAGTTTTATTTTATGTGAAACGTTTATTCTTATGATTTTTAGGTACTTAGTGAATATGGACCTATCTAGAATAGAAAATGACATTTTTCGTGGCCTTATCAATTTAAACATTCTGTATTTGGATAACAATACATTAGAATTCATTCACCTGGAACACCTCCAAGCAATGCCAGCACTACAATATCTGTTAGTATACAAGGGAATTTCAAATGTGAGGCATCTTTTTTAACAGGATATGGAACTCGCATATGAGCATATAGTGCAAAGCAAGAGAAATATAATTTCAGTCTATGATGGTAGTGGTAGGGTTGATACTGTTGATAGCGATCACGAAAGATCTGTAATAACAATAATATCAATGAAATATACTGTTGTTAATACCTCCGTTATTTTGCAACATTTTTATTGTCGGATTGGTTTATTTAGATGAATCCTACATCCTGTTAAAAACATGTCTCACCTCTGATTTCACCCTATTTTTACCTTATTGAAATTGAATTATGAATACAAGGTGTTTACCTTTCTCTGCCACTTAGTATGTTAACATGTCCTATGGAGTACAAATTCTGTTGAGGAGCGATAATATCATTGTTTGTTGATTTGACTCTACAATAGTACCTACACCATGGTAGGTACATATAGAATACAGTATATTGAGAAAGAATACGTTCAATATAAGACATAATATTGCGTGTCCCAGATATTTTTATACAGCCAATATCTGAGTTATGCTGCTTGAAAAATTTGAAAATTACAAATTTGACTTTGAAGTTATTGTGTCAAAGTCAACTTCGTCCAAACTACCCCTGAGAAACCACCTCAAACTTCATTTTTTCAAGTTGCACCTTATACATTTTTCTGTTGAATAGTGAAGTGCAATCAATTCTAACTTCAACGATGTATCACACTTGATATTATGGCATAGGTTGGTAATAATTCCAAGATTACAAAATTGGAAGTTTTAGGTTTGAATCATTCATTTTGATTGTTTCAGTCAGTCAATTCATCAATTCTAATACATCGCTGAAGTTAAGATTTATTGGACTTCACATATCAACAAAGAAATGTATAGGGTGTTACTTGAAAAAATGGAGTTGGGTGGTTTTTCAGTGGTAGTTTGATAGAAGTTGACTTTCACATAATGTCTTCAAAGTCATTTGGCTTTGAAAGTTTATTTTTTCCAAGCAGCATGGCTGTATGATAAAATCTGGGACACCCGTATACATATATACAGGGTGTAACATGAGTACGTTTAAATATTAAAGTCACGTATTCCTGAGGAAATTTCAATAAAAATAGAGTATATAAACTTGTGTCCGAAAATGCATAGTTTCCGAGATCATTAAAATTGTCTCAGGAATACTTCACTTAAATATTTTGACATACTTATGTTACACTCGTACATATATATATATATATCATCATTGATTGTATGTTATATGTTTCAGTTCAATGAAAAACAATAAGTTAACAATGTATTATCAAACATTCCCATTCTTACCATCCCTATCTGAATTGTAAGTACCAACTGCCATTGATATTGAATCAATGAAGTCATTTTCTCTGTTTCTATTTTCTATACATATTTCTAGATATTTGGATAACAATTCAATAACCATCATCACGGAATATACGTTCATGAATTTGAATAATGTTCATGTATTGTAAGTTTTGTATAACCAATCATTCACTACCTACTTTTGTATCCTTGAGTTATTTCAGGAGTCTATCACACAACGACATAGAGACAATTGCTGAGGAAGCGTTTCATAATCTTTCGGAACTAAGAGAGCTGTACGTTTGTGATGCTTTGTTAGTATCCTGTATATTTGTAAACTGATTCGATCGATTTCAGAAATATATGCCACAACAAAATTGTTCGGCTGAATCCAGCAATATTCATCAACCAAGACCGACTGAAACGATTGTAAGTCAATATATTTATTCCATCAAAAATAATGTGTGCTAATGGTATTCAATTCTGTACTTTCAGATGCCTAGGAAACAATCCTGTAGTATTCATACCCAATGATTGCTTCAAAAATCTGGTTGATCTAGAATATCTGTTAGTTTTTCAGCAAATTGTAAGTCCCATCCACTAGGAATTTTATGTTCTAGGAATCTTGAAGATGTCAGAATCGAGAATATAAATACGGCCATGTTTCAATCATTACATAATCTAGAATCCGTCGATTTCATTTCTCACTACTACTGCCAGTATGTTCCTAATCAACATAACTGCAGACCTAATGGTGACGGTAGGTAACCATTCAAGAGCATATTTATTCTGAGCCTACAAAAATAATTTTGCACAGGTATATCTTCATCTACGAATATTTTATCAAAACCAATGTTTCGATACTGGAACTGGATTATATCATCAGTAATATGTATAGGAAATTTCCTAGTCATTTTCAGCAGGCTCCTCTGCAAGGATGACAACCCAATGTTGAGTTTGGTCATCAGAAATTTAGCAGGTTAGATTTCCGACCTTCAGTGGATTTTCAATTATACGTGGTTACCTCTTTTCAGTGAGTGATTTTTTGATGGGCGTCTATCTTGTGATAATTGGAATTAAAGATGTCAAATACAGGAATAGATACAATGAAGTAGTACAAGAGTGGAAGGCCTCTTGGGAATGTACTATTACAGGAATTGTGGGGATGCTTTCATCCGAGGTCACAGTGTGTATTCTTGTTTTCATTTCTGTCGATAGATTCTTGATGATCACTTCACCTTTAGGAAAACGTAGTTTACAGAACAAGAAACATACTATGACTATTCTATGTATCATCTGGTTCCTCGGAATATTGATAGCAGTAGCTCCAGGTGGGATTATCTTATTCAAACTGACCTTCTCACACAAATTTTCATAGTTTTCAGGTATGCAAATGATGATGACAGATTCTACGGTGTAACAGGATTATGCTTTCCTCTACACATTGGTAACACGTACTTTACTGGATGGCAGTATTCTGCTGTTATAATTTTTGGAATAAATGCTACAAGGTGGGTTTATACAGTCTCCTTGTAGGTAGGTACATTTTTATATTTACCAAATTATGTTCCAGTCTTATCATCATTGCTGTGGTGTATGTAACCATGTTCGTTAGCATTTGGAAAACTAGGAATGCTACTCCTTTGCCAAGAAAAGAATATGACTTTGTTGTTAGATTCTTCTTTATAGTTTTCATCTACACTATATGTTGGCTTCCCATAATAATTTTGAAGGCCACGGTATTCTTCAGTGAGATTTCAGGTGAGATATGCACTTGTATTTATGCTAAGATATATCAAAAACTTCAATTTCAAGATGAATTTTATGGTTGGTTAATTGTTTTCGTACTTCCAATCAATTCTGCATCAAATCCAGTTTTGTACACATTCACTTCTCCAAGATTCACAGCAAGAATTAGAAAATCATTTGCTGTGGAAAACATTGTTGCTAAGAATAATGAATACACGTCTCCTGCTGGTGAGTCATTTGTGGTTGATTGTGAATCACTTCAAATGGAACCACTTCTGTCTTATAAATTCTTCAGTTTTGAAACGATTCCAATAATTATCTCAACTAGTTGAAAAGTTCTATTGCAAAAAGAACTTCATGGATTTGAATCCATTTTCAGGCCAGGGTAGCATGTTTGTTTTTAATGCAAGAATTGGGAGAATACTCATCAGGTTCACTGGATCACTGGATTCAGAAACTTCAGAATGGACTCCTGACACAATTTCATTGGATTATAATTATCATTCATTAGTTGATAGAACTTTCTAGTTTCTTCATTACTGAAGAAGAATGTTGAAATATGAATGATAGTATAGAGAATTCATAGAGGTGGTTCCATTTGAAATGGATTGCAGTGTATCTATGCACGCCAGAATACAAAAACTTTTATTTTCAGTTTCTACGGAAGTGAAGGATGACCTTGATTATGGAAAAAATGATGCAAATCAAGTGAAAATTGTTGTAAACAAATTCTGATGCGGACTTCTTAGCAGATGGATGTAACACAAATACTATTATGCATTTTATTCTGAAACTACCTACTTGATTTCTCCGATTTTCGTGTCAATAAAAAATGAGAACTATTAGGAAAAAGATATATTCAATTGCCGTATTTACAGAAATATTAGAGTAACAAAATAATCTTAACTCAAATACAACTATCTGTTAATTCAACTAGGTCCTATTTATAAATTATATAGATTTCCACATCTAACCTAAAAACTTAACCTAAACTGATTTCTCTATAACAAAGCTTTGTACATTATTGAAGAAACAATTTCACTCAACTTTTTATCCAGAACTTATCATTGGATTTGAAGTTGACAACAAATAACACTAAGGTTCAACAAAATACATATTATTTTAGTTTACATAAAACTTCAAGCAGAAGAATTTATGAAGTTTGATTCATCAGCAGAGATATAGGTACTTATATTTGAGTTATTCCTCAATAAGGATATGCCTACTAGATATGGATTAATTCAACTCAGTTCTGAACCCACTGTCAATCTATTATAATCTACGATAATATTTATATATGTGATTTTATGATAATAATGAAAAAAAACTCAAAAGTATGTTTTGAGTAGAAGAAGAATAATTATGGCACCTCTCAGTAATTTTGGAACTGCTATTCTATTAATGACTATGAACAATAAATAATAGACTAGATGAAAATTAATCATTTGAATTACCTACTGTGGATTTGGAATGAGTATACAGCAACACAATGCTTCCAATTTGACATTGCTTATATCTTTAGTTCTAAAACGGAATACTTTTTAGGGAACCATGAATTCGTCTTCTATTTTTCTAGTAAGCATTTATATACATGAATTGTCCTAAAATTACAATTCAAGCTGATAATTTACACAATTAATCTTCTATGTCATTTATCACAATGTAACATGATGATAGGATGAAAACGATACGTATCAACTGAAAATTCAGAAAATGTATGTACCCTGTGTTCAAAAATATAATTCTCATGGTGTAGGAATAATAAGGATCTAATGTATCCTTTTGGGAGATCACATCAGTAATCCGAAAGAAAAAAGTTGAGACATTCTATGTTATGAATTATCTCCCAATTTGGTATATACAACATATCTAATACTAGGTCATACTGCGAGTCAAATAATTCAGATGTTGTATTCAACAATTGACTATTCAATAATCATTGGTTTCATCTGACAATTTCCAACTCTTGAGTTGACCTCCTTTTGAACGAATCCTCAAAATAGAGAAATTAGAAGTACAATATCAGTCTCACAGTGAGAAATCTTTTGGGAAAGATTCTACAACAGATATACAAGAATAACACACTATATTTCGTTATCGTGACAAAAATGTATTTTACTAATATCGTTATGTCCTAACAGATCCAACGATTTGGCATGCACGGCGATTCTCTGGATACATCCTTCGAATCCCTTGTAGTAGGATGTTGGTAAGCCTGGAGGAAGATGAGCAGAACCACCTGAGGAATTAAAATATCAGTTTCAGTACTGATTCGAGCTGATTCAGTGCAACATCTTTCTGACTTTCTGTCTTAATATCCGTGGATTAGCATTAAATGAATATAAATATACCGTTCCCTATATATATGTATTTGATTTCAACTATGTGAAGTGTAATGATACTTTGTGCACTACAATTCAATATATCTGGACATGAGAGCTAATGAGCATAATCCCCACCTGATATTCGTATTCGTCCTAACAACACAAGTAAATTCTATGGACGCCTCAGGGAAGTCCCTCATCCACTAAGAGGGTGTGCCTGGGATAGCTGTTATCGGGACAAGGGACATATTAGGGACGATCTATGGACATTCCTTGGCTTCCCAAAAGGACCTACATGGGACGTCTCTACAGTACGTCCTAGGGATATATCAGACACTACCTACAATCCAGCGAGGTAACAATTGTGACCTGCAATATCGCATTCTATGTCGCATCATAAGTTCTCTGCGATATAACAGTAATGTAGTTGCAATATGTTATTTGTGATGAAATAGCGACCACAACCAAGCGTCGCGAGATGTGAGCGAAATAAAAGTGTGCTTGCAACGGAACAAACGTTGGCGAATGAAGCTTTCAGATCATCTTCGATGAATGTTTTGTTGTTTCATATTAATTCTGATAGAAATAGAGATCAGGATATACACGGACATCAATGGGAACAGGAAGGAGGTACCTAGGATATCCCTGTGTTGTTAGGGCGTGTTCTCGAGAAGATTACATTCGCGAAAATCACAAAGTATGCGGCATCTGGAATCGAACTTTAGAACCTTTCCGAAGTTTTTCAACACACTAACTCAGCATTGTCAACATGACGGTTTCGTAAGGGTGTATGCTGTGCTCCGAACATACCCGAAGGATGCATTGTTGCCAAATACTACGCTTTATGCGAAATTTTACGAATAATATACTCTTCAAAAATAAGGTTTATTTGGGCTGACTTAGGTTAGATTGTTTGAAAAAAGTATTATCCTCTGTTCTCTCAAGTAATTTATCAAAAAATGAACTCTTCAGGAAGGTTTATTTAGGTCAAGTTAGGTTAGATTGTTCAGAAGAAGTAGTCTTCATTCTCATGCAGAAAGGATATTTCGCTTCATTGTATCACGTATCTGAAATTCAGATAGCCATAGAGGGAAATGCTATATAGCTGGACGCATGTACTAGACATTGTGGGCCTAACTGCACATTTTGTTACATCTTCGTTTGGCAACAGTGCATCCTAAGGGTATGCTTGATGACTGTGGAAATAATAGAAGTGTAAAATGCAGTCAGAAAGCAATGTGGGTGTCACGGAATGTAGGTGCAACACAATGTGTCGATAGGCTCACAATAACTGTTTCAGTGAATGGTATGAAGGATAGTATTTGGCAACAGTGTGTCATTCGAGTATATGTTCGGAGACTGTGTATGAGTATCGTAATGTTGGGCTAACGAAATGTGGGAACAACGCGATGTGGGGCCTGTGGGGGTACGAAATGTGGGCACAAAGCAGGTCACCCAAGGTTTTCCAATTAGAACGACTATGACTTACCTATCCAGAGTTTGGCATTCGTTCTCAGAGCAATAGATCCACTCTTGGCAATTCCTCTGGTGGCAGGTTTGCCATCTATTGAGATGAAACCAACTCTCTTCCTTCTCCTTACATGTATAGTATGCCACATGCCATCGTCCACTCTTGTTTTGGCTCTGGAAACGAGAAAATGAAGACATCAACATCTGAAAACTGATTCACTGACGTTGTTTTGCTGATCGTACCTTACTGCCCAGAATGCATTCGTCGTTCCCAAATTGAAGCTCAGTTCCGGGTAACCATCAGCTATGGCGATTGCTAGATAATCTTGGGCATGGTTCCTATTCTTACTCCTCCAAAGCAATAGACCTTCTGACATAAACGTGCGAATCCTGATTTCATATCTATTTCCTCTTTCTGGTTTCCTTCTGTGAAAAATTCAATTAGAATATGAGTACATTTTGTCTACACGAAATCAGGATAACAATTGGTATTTATATACTTCTAAGCCTTCTGAAATGTTTGGGAACATAAAATAAGACCAAGAAGCTCAGTCAGAAGTACCGATAGATTAGATTTTTGACTAGGCTAAATATCCAAGAATGTAGAGGAGTTCAGTGCTATTGGGAAAAATACTTGAGAAAACTGCCAGAGCTGATCATAATATATCCTGTATGGCGAAACCAATATACACTGTGTCCATAAAGTCACCCCCCCCCTGGTTAACTATTGAACGGATGGGATTTTTTATTTCAATTTTTTTTTGCTCCAATGGTAGTTTCAGTGCTATATATTGTTCCAAAAAAAAATATGTATCCTCCAAAATGGCGCCTGGGCGCCATTTTGGAAGATTTTTTTAAATGGAGTGGGGGGTCGAAAGATACCTCGATTGAAAGGTCTTTCGATTCTCTATACAACCTCAGAATCTCAGACGAAAATATTCTTCCAAAACAAAATGGCGGATGATAACGTTTGAAATCTCACACCAGAATTCTTTCGACTAGATGGCTATTGAAGTGCTCGCATGTGATCTTCAAATCTCTATTGGCGTAAAGAAGAGTTCTCTATCCATGAAGATATCAATAGGAAGCCATTTTGAAGAGAATAACATGGTAGTCAATTATGCCTTTGCTCGATTGTCTTTCCAAATTCTGCAAAATTTTAGAAATATTTATTCAAAATAAAGAACAATGTTTATTCCACGTGACTACCATGTTATTCTCTTCAAAATGGCTTTCTATTGATATCTTCATAGATAGAGAACTCTTCTATACGCCAATAAAGATTTGAAGATCACATGCGAGCACTTTAATAGCCATCCAGTCGAAAGAATTCTGGTGTGAGATTTCAAACGTTATCATCCGCCATTTTGTTTTGGATGAATGTTTTCGTCTGAGATTCTGAGGTTGTATAGAGAATCGAAAGACCTTTCAATCGAGGTATCTTTCGACCCCCCACTCCATTGAAAAAAACTTCCAAAATGGCGCCCAGGCGCCATTTTGGAGGATACATATTTTTTTTTTGGAACAATATATAGCACTGAAACTACCATTGAAGCAAAAAAAAATTGAAAAAAAAATCCCATCCATTCAATAGTTAACCAGGGCGGGGGGTGACTTTATGGACACAGTGTTTACATTACCATTGCTGCATTATAAACGAAATTGGACGATGAAAATAGCGCGAGATTGAACTCGAAAATCGTATTATACATTTCCATTCCCAATTTTCCTAATCTATGCTATCATGGATTGTTATCGTTAGCTACTTGTTTGTTATGAATCGAATTTTTTATGCACGTGTTATGTCGATAAAACAGCTGTATCTGAATATTCCATATCGTCTGTGGAATATTGTGAATAGATTCGATAGCACCCTGTATGAATAACACATCTTACGAGCAAGGGGGTTAGTAGTTAGGATAGTCTCTTAATCAATTTGCGTTTGTCCCCTATAGTGCATAAACTTCATAATGTTATTATCTCAAAAGAATTAATTATATGTTCGATTCATGCTGATGAATAGGTTTGTCAGTTTAGTGGATTGTCACACAAAGGGAATTTTTGAAGAGGTTGTTAGAATTTATCAGATATAGAATAGGTAGCCAGGAAGATTCTGTAAACATAGGAGATAAGAACATTATGAAGTTATGAAGGCTGCTCGGTGGTCGAGAGCGTGAAAGCGCTGAGTTCGTATGGGGACTCCCGAGACATAGGTTCGAATCCTAGTTAGGCCATGGATGTTTGTGTTTGTATGCTCACCTAACCCCGCACAAGTTTCGACTTATGGGGCGTTTGGTCCCAGTGCTGGGACCAACGAGGTAATGCAATTGCAAAAAAAAAGTTAGGAGTTTCTGCACTAAAGGAAAATATTCAGATTAACTTCTCTGAATAACTGTCCGTCTCGAAATCGTAAAATCACAAAATAATCTTACATATATCTATAGTTAGTATACTTACAGCGACTCTAAGTCGTCTAAGTCGAAGTCAAAATTATTTTCATCATAGAAGCTGTTGTTATTCTCAAGGTTGTCTTCTTCTGAAGTGTTATTGAAGACATCTTCACTATCATCGATATCATATGAAGAGTTCTCGCTGTTAGTAGAAGTGTTTAGTATTGTTAGTTTGTTAATAAGCATACAATTTTATATGTTCAATGAATGCTGATGTAGGTTTTCCAGTGTCGTGGATTCTCACAACAAGGACATTTTTGAAGAGGTTGTTAGAATTCAATCAGATATGGAATAGTCATAAAGAGTCTGCATACATAGGTACGAAAAATCAGAGTGATCCACCTAATTGACTTATTGTAGACTAATAGAAAACTAAGAGTGATATATCGAACAGGAATTCCCGTTCTAAAATATTCCCAATACGCTGTCACCCAGACTTTGTATGTTTCATTGAATTTTTGAATTTTGCGTGAGATTCTGGTGGTACTGCATTTTAAATCAGTTTCCTATATCTCCATTTGTTGTTGAGATATCAACTAGTATCAGAAAATGTTGGCTGGTGATGTCGTATCACCATATCACCAAAGCTTGATGAGAATATTGCAGAACTATTTTGAGGTATATTCATATACTAAAGCTCTCAATGTTTTCTAGCGAATTGGGAGCATGCAGAATTCTTTAATATTTTGCCTACCCTGTATAAGCAGATTTAACCATGACTTTTCATCGGCGATTCAGTAATTTTATACTCGAAAGTTCTTTCTGTCAAATGGACTAAATCGAATCCAAATAAGTGGAATATTCACCAACATATTCAATGTTGAATTTTGAGCAAAAATTTACTTGTTGCCGTTCATATTATCAGCATTCAATTCGAAAATGTGTGTCTAGTTTTGTTTCATCTGGATTATGCCTTCTTTGGCTCTCTATGAACCCATTATGAATCAGCTAGGCCAATCACCCTGTATATCGATGCGATAATTTTCCGAACAAAAAGTAATAATTTCATCACGCTATCACTTTCCCTGTGTTTTTGCATACTCTTTATGGACATCAAATATAACCTACAGCTCTCACCTTCTGTATCCTTTGTTTCTGTATTGAAGGAAAGTTTCCCCATTCAATTTCAACGCCAAGCTGTCTTCTTTCACTGCAAAAATTAAAAACACATATTGAGCTGTGCCTCAAAAGAAATTTCAATCTTCGGAAACTTTTTCAGCCAGATGCACATTCAAAAAGGAAGTTTGTTGTGGTTTAATATTTTCGACATTACTAGAGATAGCTGGGTGGCGTTATTAAATTTTTGAAGTTTCCCACAACTTTTCATTCCAGAGAATCCTCTTTGCATCCCACAAAATGCATAATTTTAGTTTCGAGAAGTATCGATATGATAATAAGAATGAAAAATTGTTGAAGATGATATGGTATTTCAGCTGTTGAGTTGACCACATTTGAAAGGGTTGTTCTACCGTGAATAAAAACAGGTCGATATCAAATTACAAAAATATGAGTCAACCATAACGAAATACCTCCGAACATAGAAAATGGAGTAGGTACATATATAGGTATCCAAAATGAGCCCCTATTAAAACTATTATTATAATAATCATACGATACCAATATACAGGGTGGACCATTTTAATCTATTATGGATAATAGTTCTTCCCGGAAGCCGCTAACAAAAAAATGGTTCAAACAAAAGTTGAAAGATTCAATGGGGGCCGAAGAATGACCCTACTCACAACCCCTTTCCCCCAGGGCCCCCATACGGCCCTGGGAGATGAAATGTTTTTTTTCAAAGGGAACCCTTTTTTTCTCAACGGATTCTTGTTCTACAGAGAAGAACAAATAAAAAATGTCTCTTGCGAATTCTTTTTTGGGCCTCTTAAAGGGTCCCAAATTTTTAATTTTGGTATTTGAGTTGAAGAAAACAAAGAATTTTCATTGGCCTGTGATTCGTTAACCAGATTAAGGGTTTGCTCAAAAACATGGTAATATGCTGGAACTGCACTTATGTTATCATATTCGAAACATAGGTTCGACCTGATGAGCCTAAGAGTAATTGCAACTCAAATACCAAAATTGAAAATTTGGAGCCCTTCAAGGGGCCCGAAAAAGAATTTGCTAGAGACATTTTCAATTTGTTTTTCTCTGTAGAACAAGAATCCGTTGTGGAAAAATAGGGTTTCCGTTGAAAAAAAAAACATTTCATCTCCCAGGGACGTATGGGGGCCCTGGGGGGGGGGGGGGGTTGTGGGAATCCTTCAACTTTTGTTGGAACCAGTCTCTTGTTAGCGGCTTCTGGAAAGAACTATTATCCATAATATATTATAATAGTCCACCCTGTATACATGTTTTCAAAAATTTCATGTACATGACTTCTTCGGTTTCCATTTTTTGCTCATTATATTTGGATTTCTTAAAAATTCACATTAATCACTTATTGGAAATGTTTCTGGTATAAAATCCGGAGCTCAAATTATGGTGATTTAACCCAAATCACCTAAATTTTTATTTATAATATTCACAAATTTCAAAATTATTGTGTTATTATGATTTTTTCTGTTGATATGGATTGAAGTTTCATTTGCGTAATGAAAGCAGTTCGATCATACAAAACATTGACATAATTAATGATCCACATGAAAATTAAAATAATTGTGCAGCTACATGCCCAACTTGAAGAATCTCGAAAAATACTAACTTCATTGCTATGGAGGAAGGATACAATATTTTTACGTTGGAAGTATAGAATAACCGAAAAATCGTGATAAAATGGTGAATCTGCCAGTGGCGTAGAATTTGGGAAGGATCAACTGGTCACTTGCCCCTGTCGTTCGCCTCTGGTAGTAACCAGAAAAGTTTATTTTACATAATTTAGTAGGGTGTATAATATCTACACCAGGTAGGCACAAACAATTATCAAATTTTCGAATAGAACACCCTGTAACTCAGACATGAGACACATTATATGTGAGTGATCTGGGATAAATCTTCAAATTTTTTATTCAGGATTCTCTAGTTGAGCTATTAGATCTATGGTAGCACCAATGCCTTTGGTTGAGGTATCGCTTTGGGATAATGCTGAGTATAAATACGATCATTAATTCGTAACCAGAAATCACTTATGCTTCTTATGTGGTCTATATTCGGATCAATAAAAAAAATCGATCGATAAGTTTGAAATATTCTACGACCAAAACTACCCTATACAATTTCTGATGAAATTTTCTATATGCCTTGCACATTTTTTTCAGGTGTGTTTTCTATATGAATAGATTTTCGTTCCGTTTCGAATTTGGGCCTATTTTTCATAGCATACCTATATCCTGAGATATATCTCATATCTTTGGAGAAATTTTTTTTTCATTGCCATATTGTGTGCACGAATATTTTCATATATTTTCTTAGGTACCATAACAACAACATAACATACCAACTAAATCTCATAAAATCAGACCATTGATTCACTTTCGGTCTTTTCTTGATATTTTCAACACTATTTTGAAGTATTGATAGATTAGGTTATCGTGAGTCCTGATATTTCAATTTCTTTGCACCGATCCGTATGAAAAACCTCATTTTATTCGAGGAACTGTAATTTCTGGTATAAACTGAATAATTTTGCTTGTGGTAAAGTTGACATCAGTGAGCTAATTGGAATTCTCATTGGTACAACCTCGGTTGTAGTTATGTCGCATGCGAGCTTGTTACACATAGCTGATTTTGTAACTGCGGTTACTTCCTTGCAGGAGTGTGGATCTGGTTGAAGGGATATAGTATTCAAAGGATGACTCTGTTATGGGACTCTTCGATTTGATAACTTCGACCTCATGATATGATACAGGATCACTGGTACCTGTTGCACAGAATATTTGAAATAGTATTATATACAACGATCATGTAATGATAGCTATCAATACACGCCTACGAGGTGAGTATAGCAGAAGCAGAAGACGAGTGTTGTGAACCGTGTGCGAGTGTATATCAATAGTCAGATGATCGTTGCATACACTATCTCTCCATGACCAATGAATTACTAAGTAAAAACGAAAATTAATCTCAAATTATTATTTTTTTTATCGCTTGGAGCGTACGAAAGGAAATCCCTATAATGTTCAAAGAACATCGTGCGTTCCTAGGGAGGATAGAGACAGGTATTGGAATTTTTTTGAATATCTGGAGATTATATGTTGTTGGGAATACTTCGTCAGGCAATGAATTCCACAGCCTAGCCGTTCTATGGATGAAGGAGTTTTGATAAAGTGCTGTTCGACATCTTTCGAGGTTGACAACGAAGGGATGTGCTGACTGGGCTTGTCTAGTTCGTCTGACTGGTATTGCTAGTGAAGGGATGATAGCAGAGTTTTCCGAAGAACATTTTCCGTGGAAGTATCGATAGAAAAGGGAAAGGTCGCCGACCTTTCTACGGTGTTCCAATGATGTCAAAGAGTGAGTGAGTGTGGCGTCACCCACCAGGCGAATGGCTCTTCTCTGGATGGAATCTGAGAGCATCAGCGTATGTTTTGGTGCTGAACCCCATATGTGGGAACAGTATTCTAGAACAGGCCGTATCTGCGCTTTGTAGATCATGAGAAGCTGTTGAGGTGTAAAGTAGCTTTTCGCACGGAACAAGAATCCGAGTTTCTGTTTTTGTCTCCAGTTCCATGAATTATTTGTGCATTTGATAAATTGTGATCGAATGTCAAACAATTCAAACAAATATGTAAAGAAATAGACCAACTTTCAACTTGATCATACCCAAGTACGTTTTATATAGTATAGTCCGAAAATTTGCTTCCCATTGGGAAGTACGTGTTTTAATTTACCAAAATCAGTTTCATTATGAAATTATTATCATGTTAGAATCAACATTCCAATAATAAATCGGTACAGGTGGATGGCCAGTGTAGCCTCGTGGTTGAAGCGTCAATATTCTATCCACGTTGGATTGCCGGTAGGTGGGTTAGATTTCCACCACGACAGCAGAAATTTGTCTGAAGCCCTAAGAAAGTGTTTGGGATCATACGTTGAAAGGTGAGACCCCCGTCATTCCATGCTCGCACAAGTCTCTTGAAGACCTCTGAGAGTTGGTCGTAAGGGGGCAACCGAATGTTGGATAAGAAAAATTTTAGAACAATTTTAGAACAATTTCAGAACATTTTTAGGTAGCAGACATTGAATTCGTGTATGGGAGTACACAAATTATATTATAAGTTGAGTATTATCAGAGAAGGTGATCAGAAACCATCGTGATAATATAGTGACGTGATCTATTCATTAGTTACGATGAGTGCCAGTTGAACTACACTCAAGTATCTGACTCTACTTACTCATACTTAGAGATTTGATCTCAACTTCCAATTCTTGATGTAGAGATTCAGTTTGTAATACTCAACTGAAATATGGCGATAGGACCGAATATGCCTCAATAAAATATTGCTATGGAAAATGATATAGGCCATTGAATTTGAGTATTTTTTCCTTCTTTTGATAATAATTTCACTGTATATTCATCGATTGTCATCAAAATTGGCATACAAGCATAATTTTATTCAGGGAATATCATTTCATGTATTATTAGGTTATGACAGGAATAGCAACGTAAATGATGACTGATGATGAAATCGACTGACAACTTTTTTTACGAAACTTTCTAGTGATTTTGAATAAAAGATATGACATAAACATTATTTCTACGAGATATTGGTACTCTCGTTCAAAAACTATTTTTTTTTCCGAGAAAAACGCAATAATTAATGTAGGTGAATTACATTCTTTGTCAGTGAATTAATTTTGGTGCAAGTTTATAGTCAATACTTCTCCGATTGAAATACCCTGTATCTTTTTCCACAGCAATATTTTATTAGGGCATATTTGGTCCTATTGCCATATTTTGGTATGAACAAGCCCCCCTTAGCACATGACCGAATAGTTATGACTAACCCTGTATATTTATTGGATTCGAGTGATGTATCTGTCATAAAACCAGTTAAAAACTATGGAATTCCGACGAATAAGCAATAGGTTCAATCACAAAATCGGCTTACCTATTTCGCAATATTTCCCTTTGAAGTTTGACGGACATCTGCAAGTGAAATCCCGCAAATCCGGGACACAGAGGCCATCATTCAAACAGGGATTTTTCGTTAGAGCACACGGTTGGCCGTCATAGTATCCAATATTTGCACTACATCCGGAATTGTTGTATGCTGCTGAAATGCCACAATTCTCTAGTAGACCGGATAGGGAAAGAGGCTTACCATTAAGAAGAACCTTCTGGATGGCTCCTCTAAAGCCTTTAGAAGCTCCAGACAACCGATGGATTTGTTTCCAGTTCCTGCATTCAATTTCAATCCAGATAAAAAAATGAAACAAATCTTATAGTACAGGGTGGCCCACTTATGCTCGCTCGGACCATAGCTGCTCGGCTGATAGATATAGAAGAAAAAAAATCATCGGAAGTTATTGGAGACTTCATAAGCTACTCTTCAAAATTATTTTTTAGTATACAGGGTGCACCATGAATCCGGGGTGAAAGAATCGATCGTTTTTTTAAACGGCACACCCTGTATATTATTTAATTTTTGGAATCTCTCTCATGTGGGCTTCACAAACCCATTTTGTTTTTGAAGATCAGATGCGACGTTGTCAAGTTATTAACATTTTAATCAAATTTTACGAGAAAACATGAATGTTGAAAAATATTCAGGGAAACTATATTTCCGAAGATTCATGAACAAAACTGGGTATACAGATACTGAAAGTATGTGTAGAAAATCAGACATTATTTGGGTTCACCCAAACTATACAGAGTGTTTTAAAATAAGCACCGAATTTCGCTATGTCCAAATCGCCGAAACACGATTTTTTCAAATGGATCACCCTGTATATTATTTCATAATCTGAAAGCTCATCCAATGGGCTTTTCGTTGATACCATAAAGACCGTATCCAACGATACTCTTCGATAGGTAAATAACGATAAATGAATTCAACTGTACATTTTTATTCAAAAACTATAACAAACCTAGGGAAAATTCAACTGACAATCAGAAATGTGTTCCATTCTGCTGGATACATTTTTGAGCTCGATGTTTAATCGAATTCCTTACTTTTGACAACATTTCTGGTGTAATATTTGCAAAAGTTTCCCTTATCCTCATGTTCATGTTTTCTTTCGTTGTTACTGGTTCCGAATCCACTTTGTTCTTCACATAGCCCCATGAAAAGAAATCGCAAGGGGTCAAGTCTGGCGACCTTGCAGGCCAGTGTATTGGACCTCCTCTACCAATCCACCTATCTTGAAAACGCTCATTCAACCACTGGCGGACTGGTGCTACAAAATGTACTGATGCACCGTCTAGTTGAAACCACATATTATTCAACACATTTTGTGGTACACGTTGAAGCATCGCTCCCAAATGATTTTGTAGAAAATCTAAAACTACTACTCCATTCACCACAACATCAAAAAAGTAGGGGCCGATGACGTAATTATCAATAATACCTCCCCAAACATTCAAAGACCATCTTCCTTGGGAAGTGGTTCTGAATAAATGAGGATTTTGATCCGAATAATAATGATAATTATGACGATTCACCGCCCCATTCTTGTGAAATGTAGACTCATCAGTGTAAAGAACCTTTCTCGAAAAATTTATGTCAGTGTTGATCATCTCAATTAACCACCTACAATGTTCTATTCTGCGATTGAAATCCTGTGATAGAAGTTCCTGGTGTAATTGTATATGGAATGGATGAAATTTATGTTTCATTATTATGCGTTGAACTGAAGTTCTTGAAATTTCTACATATTGGCTCAATTCTCTGCTACTTATATTCGGGTTTTCAACCACAGCAGTCATTACCATCATCTTGTTCTCTTCGGTCAAAACAGAAGCTCGCTTTTTATGTTTCATATAATTCACTGAACCACTACTATATTGAATCTATCAGCTAGATTTGAAAAGCAGTCAACTTTTGGGCGTCTTCTGTCAGGATATCGTTGGGCATATACTCTACTTGCCAAAAGACAGTTCTTTTGACACTCACCCAAAATGTATATCATTTCAATCAATTCGTCCTTTGAATAATTCATTACCAAACAGTAATGTGCTACACCAAGAAGAGTAACTGACAACTGTATATGTCACTAAAACTTCTGTTGAAATGTAATTGATGAATCTTGTTGTAGAAACTGTCAAGATGTTCATCTGTTTTCAGTGATTGCTCTTCATTCATCTCGAAAGAGTGATAAACAATAATTATCCACGTGAATTGAGCTATCTAAATAAAACAATCAAAGATTGACTCCGAAAAACATATTCAATGAAAAAATGCCCTCTTCAAACACCTCATCGAACAGGATTTCTTTCAAATTCAATCCATATTCAAATACTTTGAATCATAAATATTTTCAATACACGTTCGTAAATGTTTTTGATTGAAGAAAGTATGATTTCGTCGTTATTCGCCTATATCGAAGAGTAACGTTATTGGATACCGTCTATATGGTATCACCGAAAAGCCCATTTGATGAGCTTTCAGATTATGAAATAAAATACAGGGTGATCCATTTGAAAAAAATGAGTTTCGTCGATTCGGAAATAGCGAAAATCGGTCCTTATTTTAAAACACCCTGTATATTTTGAGTGAACCCAAATAATGTCTGAGTTTCTACACATACTTTTAGTATCTGTATACCCAGTTCAGTTCATAAATCTTCGAAAATATAGTTTCCCTGAATATTTTTCAACATTCATGTTTTCTCGTGAAATTTGATTAAAATGTTAATAACATGACAACGTCGCATCTGCTCTTCAAAAACAGAATTGGTTTGTGAAGCCCACATGAGAGAGATTCCGAAAATGAAATAATATACAGGGTGTGCCATTTAAAAAAACGATCGATTCTTTCACCCCGGATTCATGGTGCACCCTGTATACTAGAAAATAATTTTGAAGAGTAGCTCATGAAGTCTCCAATAACTTCCGATGATTTTTTTTCTCCTATCTCTATCAGCCGAGCAGCTATGGTCCGAGCGAGTATAAGTGGGCCACCCGTATAATAGGTAGTAAACAAGCAAGATATTTTCTTCAGAATCAACTTGAGAAATCTCCATACAGGGTATTACTAGATCGGAAATGCTCGTGACCCAACCTGGCCCCAAACAGTAATGAGAAATGAGAAAGAAGCTCCAATCAATTTGATCCGGTAATTTTTTTCAGATACTTCAGAGTTGAGTCACTGAAAATGGTTTTCAGTCAGTGAATAGGACCGAAAATGATCATTGAACAGTGTCTCCATGTATATTTTGAACCCCCATTTAACTTTTTCATCCACTGTTAGATTTTTTCGCAAGGAACGTTCTGTCATATTTTTTTCTCTAGATTTCATATATCATTTTGCCAACAGAAAAACAGTTGAACATCTAGAAAAATACTTATGGACAACATTTATGAATTTTTAAATAGGACATCCTGTATTTATTTGCATTTCCAGATTCTCCCTGTAGAGCTGATTTTATCACACTTGGGGTCTTGCTGAAATGATAACAGTGGTATAGGATGTGGAAAATTGAGATTTTGTTTCAAACTTAAAATTTTATTGTGTCGAAACCATTCGTTATCAGCCAAAAAGGTTCATTATGTACCTATCTTAACTTTCGATTTTCTGACATTCAATTGAAACACATACAGGGTCATCAGAATCACTTGACCAAGCAGATCAAAAGTTAAGATACGGACATAAAAACCGTTTTGGCCAATAATGCATAGTTTCAATTCAAAAAAAATTCTAAATTTGAAAAAACCTCAATTTTTCACACCGTATAATATATATATATATATGAATATATCTCTGTAATCATTTCATGTAGACCCCAAGTGTGATAGATCGATGGAATTAGCTCTTCAGGTAGTATCTGAAAATTCAATAAAATACAGGGTGTTATATTTGAAAATTCATAAATGTTGCCCATGAGTACCTATTTTTTGAGATGTTCAGCTGTTTCTCTGATGGCATATATAAAGTTTACAGAAGAAAATATTAACGAACGTTCACTGGAAAAAAAATTTAACAACACAAAAAAGTTAAGTGGGGGTTCAAAATATACGTGAAGACCCTCACCTAGTCCCTATGCGTAAGCAAGAATTTTTGGACACATTTCGATTTGAAATTATTTTTTATTTTCGTCTTGGGAATCAGCTCACGGGAAATTTCGGTGTAGTTTAGAAACACCCTGTATAGGTACTGAGTGTTCAGTTTCCCTCCGAGATAGGTAAAGTAAAGAAATACTAATTTCTTTTCGTGGTAATTCAATAGCAGAAAAGACAACTTTCTCTGCAATCGAATTCGGTGTGTGGTTTGATCTCGAATACATTCATTTTCGGCAGGGAATTAGTCATCCCAGATATTTGATATAGTGTCGCAGTACACTCTTGAAATTGAAGATGGTTCACAATAATTCATTCCATACTAAATCGATTATCATATTTCAATTTCAACACCCTGTATCTCTAAAACTGAACTTTTTATCGAATCACGCCGTGTGAGAGAAATTCAATTGATTGCATAAGGCATATAATATTGAAAGTGAAAACGAATTGGAAAAATCAGAAAATCGACACTAATTTTTTTGACCATCATAATATATACTCTACTATTCGATTTCCTGTAAAATTTGCTGAAAATAGTTAATATCCTGTATCTGTTCACTAGGAATGTGGGTGAGACAACCTATTTAAATGCATTAAGCGGCGTTCACAACCAAACTTTTTACGTTTTGCTTCTTACGTTTCGTATTCTGATTGGTGAAGAAATCTGGAGTTAAAATGACGCAAAAAGCTGAATATTTTCAGCTTTTCGTGTTGAAAGATGTCATCGTCTATGAAATTGGTAAAAATTAGCAAATAATACTATTATAAAAATGAAAAATACTACTGTAAGTTGTGATTCGAATAGAGTTATACATGGTTATGGAACATCCTACGGAAGTTATGATAAGGCTTTTGTTCATGATTTTTTCGTGATTCCAGGAAATAGTAGATGAGTACTGTTCAATATTATTTATTCTAGAACGAAGCACGAATGACAAAACGTCTCTAGGCATCTTAAGGCAGCTGTGAAAAGCCGCAAAAACTCACGAACTCACGTTGACGTTTTTTTGTTGAGAATGAAATTTGCTGCCGTTCAATTCACGCTTCATTTCAGATTCCGCTTCACCAATCAGGATACGAAACGTAAAAAGCAAAACGCAAAAAGTTTGACTGTGAACGCCGCTTTATTCTTGACTTACGGGACTGCTCCGATGTAAAAATGAGTTTCCAAATTCAATTCTGTCAAGGGGACACCAGACAAACCATGGACATCGGAAGAGTTATCCAGCAGCATTCTTCCTTCGCGACCATCACGGGAAATCTTAACCCAGTGCCATTCGTTCAGAGACACTTGTTTAGGGCTCCTGCAACAATACACCTAATTTAGGATTTATAATGAACTATAGTGCCTGCAACGATCTCCATTCCAGGTCTTCATGATATCGTAATTGACCTATGCATTCTGCATAATCAAGCCTACTGCAATAATATGGCTGATGGTATCTTCAATATACTCATCAGTTGATTCTTTCAATTGCAGATTCTGCCATACCCAGCTAAAATGTACCCCCTGTAGAAAATCAAACTTTAAATTTGGTCACCCAGTATATTTGATGATGCTTACTTGAATTATGCTATTGAATGAATCGTAGGTATACAGGGTCACACCAAAGTGCACCTCAACTTTCTTATTTGAATAGGGACACCCTGTATATTATTCCATATTGAAGTAGAATTCAGTATTACAAAATCAACAATGCCAGGTATGATGGGATTTTTTCAAACGACTACGAAGAAATGCCTAAAAATAAAACGATTCATTGAAAAACTTATACGATTCGATTTCATCAATATAACACGATTGAAAATCGAAGGAAAAGAAGATAATTGAAATCTAATAACCACCAATTGTCCCGATGATGATAGCAACTGGCCAGCTCGGTTGCCAGACTTCACACCACTTGATTTTTATTTGTGGGGCTACTTGAATCAACAGGTTTATGAGTCACCAATTATGAATATGGAAGAAATGAAAGAGGAAATCACAAATTTATGCAAACAAATTGATCGCAACGTGATACATAGGGTCACAATGAACGTTATTAAAAAAGCTAGGAAATGTTTGCAGCAGAATGGACGACATATTGAGCAGTTGAGGTTTTGATTATTTTTTTATCATTCGATTTCAATCGTGTTATATTGATACAATCTAATCATATACATTTTTCATTGAATCGTCTGATTTTCTGCCATATCTTCGTAGTCGTTTGAAAAAATCCAATCAAACCCGGCATTGTAGAATTTGTGATAATGAACTCTGCTGGAATGTGGAATAATATACTGGGTGTCCCTATATATTCAAATTAGAGAGTTGAGGTGCACTTCGGTGTGACCCTGTATACCTACGATTCATTCAATAGCATAATTCGAGTGAGCATCATCAAATATACTGGGTGACCAAATTTCAAGTCATTCGATCGCGCGGTTGATTTTTCACAGAGAGGGACATTTTAGCTGGGACACGGTGTATATGTACTCATTGAGAATCCCTCTTCCAGAATGGTTTTCTATCCTCATTTTAAAATGAAAAGTTCTCTATACGTAGGTATATCCTCAAAGAGAAGGTTGTTCGCAAATTTCATAAAGATTCATCAAGGTGGCATTATGTTGACTTCTGGTTGATCATGTATGTCAAATATGTAAGTTGGCCATTCAACTGTCTGAAGAAGATGGAAATCAATAAACTATGATGGTTATACATGACAGGAACTATATACACCCCTAGATAATGAAAAATTCAAATTATTACGTTGATCAGCCCATACAATAATATACCAAATATCGATTCGTTTCCAAAGATATTTTTGAGGAAAAAATCGAATCATATTTCTTGCATTTCAGGATATGAATACACACAGAGAAAAATTCTTCGAATTATAAAACACATTCTTTTGAAAATTCAATTGTATATATCTTCTTTGAATTGAGCATTTTCTTTTGGGACGAAAAATCTGGTATGTTCAAGAAAATAGTGTCATATATCATTGAATTATATGCTCAAACCAAGAATCAAAACTCAATCAAAACGATTTTCCAATTCGCAGGAGCGTACTATTTTTTTTTTTTCGATAAATGTATTGCTTGGTCCAAGGATATAAGTATGCATTTCATCAAATTGAAGAATGCTCATTTCACCAGATGATATATACACAGTTTTCTCAAATTGCAATATCCTGATATGTTGAGGCAATATCTAATTTCCTTGATACAAAAATATAAACATACATTTCTTCATATGGAGCATTCTTATCTCTTCAGATTGATATCAAAACTTCATCAAATTGAAGACTCCTGCTAGTTCTATTCAATGCCATATTTTTTTGATAAAAGAATATGAATATCAATTTTCTCAAATGAAAGGAATGTAATCTTCAACTTGATGATATGAAGCAATATTTCGATTCAATACTTTATCTACTTGATTCAAGACTATGAATAGGAATTTCTTTGAATGAAAATTGAATTCCCTTGGTAAGTAGGTACCTATGCAAATTTCGGTAGTTATTGTGAGTGAATTAACAATTCTAGAAATAAAATAACATGAATTTAGTAATCTCCTAGTATGGAAATATGCTTATACTGTCATACGAAATTCTTCTGTAGCAAATGACTCGTTGATGAATGAAGAAGTATCATCTGAAATCAGGTGAAAGGAAGTTTCAGCCAAGTATCTCGAATCTATAAACCCAATATCTTCCAGAAGAGATGAATATCATAGAGGTGAGTTCCCAATTAATATAATTATATACTCATGCCATTGTTTGTGGCCGTTATTATTTTCAGCAAAACTTTGAGAAGACAAATCAATCCATGTGATTATTCTATAACTATTTGGAGTCATGATGGAATTCTGATATGGAATGACGAATATTCCCTCCAGAAGTCTACAGGATATCGATCAAATTAAGTTTCATCATTTTTGTAGATAGGAGATGGAGGAATCAAACGTTGAAAGCAAAATGCCGAATTTGTCACCTCTGTTGAAAAAAACCTTCCCCTAACGGAAAAAATTCGTCATTAGGAGCATTAGTATGAGTCAGTTCTGTTATCCAAAAATATCATTGATATCATGGCACCCGTTTAAAAGTTATAAATGGAATATATTTTTTTATTCCAATTCTCAAAGTCAGCAACTACATAACGAAGGGGCGATAGACCTTTTTATATATGAAGTACTAACATTATTTTTGCTCACTTCATCAGCCCTATCATTTTTGACCGAACCTTTCCGTACAAAATTACTATTTATCGATGTGAGTACAAAGTACCTACTTCATGCAATAATATTTATATTTTATAAGTATACCTCAAAGAATACCTAGCTACTCCTACAGAGCTTCCATAATTTGCTTTCATTTCCGTTCCCGAGTACATTTCGTACGTGTTAACGTTTATTGACGAAGACTTCAGACCACTTAGATACAAGACTCGATGGAATTGTTTCTCGAACGAGCGTCAGGATAATGTTTTTCGATGAGTTTACCCTGTTTTCTACCAAAATTTACGGTTATTGAAATGATTCTAGCTAAACGATTTTTCAGTTGCATTTGGAGAGAAAAGTCTCACTGAATAATAATTGTAGATGAATGTTTGATACTCACTAAATGGATTCATCGTCTCGTTCATCTCACACAGTATCGTTCAGGCTATGCAATGAAAATAAGTTGCTAATATAGATTTTCATCGAAACCATCCACGAATGTGATTTTGTTACCTTATGCAAATTTGTGCCAGGGTGTCCCGAAATTACATAGGATTTCAACTACAGATTCTAGGAACAAAACTAGTGAAAAAAGTTTATACAAACATGATGTTTTCTTGTAAATCCACCCACTTCTTTGTTTATGCAATTTTTGGCAGTTTGACCAGGATTTTTTTTTCTATGTTCTAGTTCCCACGAAAAGGGAAATCCTGTAATGTTCAAAGAACATCGTGAGAACCAAGGGAAATAAGGTAGGAATTGGTGTTCTTCTTGAATTTCTGGAGGTTATATGCCTCGGGGAACACCTCCCTTGGCAATGTGTTCCAGATCCTCGCTGTTCGTTGGATGGACGAGTCTTTGTAAAGAGATGTTATGCCTATAATATTATTGTTCAATTCATTCTTGTCATGGTACCCCATAAAAAAATACGAAGTAGATGTTGAGAGAGAAGGTATTTTCCATCAAACCATAATTTTCTGGAATATTCGGTACCCTACTAAAGATAAAACACTAATTTTTCGGATGATCATACATACGCAGCAGAATTTCAAAATCGCTTCAACTCGAAAATGGTGAATGCTATGGAAACAAAGTGAAAATGTTTCTATATTTCCTGGAAGAAATGCCAGAAATTGCATAAAAAATAAGTTGGGAGAAGATGTGCCCCCTAGGACGTATTTACCACGCCGCTGATCAAAATATCGAAAAATCCTTAACATTCCCAAATCGTACATAAAAAGTTAGGTACATGTACAACATTTGGTCTTATCTTATCACAGAGGTTTTCGAAAATAATCACATGCATCCATCATCTCAGGCTTTCCCCTATAGATGGCAATAACTCTCCCAGGGAGCCATTTCTGGACCACTTTTTTTACTATTTTCGGGACACCCTAAGAAAAAAATAGGATGATCGTATACATTCATTCTATGTGTAGTTATTTCATTCTAAATTCACCTGTAAGGCATTTACATTTCTTGTGGTCTTCGTAATTACATGTAATTTGGCATTTCATACCCATGCTGGATATATGAATACACCTTGTTATAGTTTTTTGTCTCGAAAAACGATATTGTTTACCTCCATTTGATTATCAAGCCAAACACAGTGGAGTATGGAGAGAAATAAATAACCGTTATTATTAATGTTGATATGCTCACTAACGTAACATTTTCCACTTCTTGTTTTGTCCTTTGTACCTACATTAATTTCGACAGCCACTTGAAATGTTAAATGTATTGTGTATCTAAATATAATGGCGAAGTATCCCCAACATCATCATCTAACGAAAGTTCGAGAATTATCAGATTGGGCACAATATTTTCAGCAACTTCAGCAAGGAACTCCTTCACCACTGCTTCCTGAAGATGAAGAACTACTACTATCAAATGAATGTACTAACTCCATAATATTGAGAAAATATTGGAAAGAGCAAAAAACAGTAGAATAAACAAAAATATATCATTATGGCGTTACGCTACAACAGACAGAATCGAAAACTAAATGAAATGAACATGCGCCAAAAATGATCCCAGAATCTAGATAGTTCTAGGACCGTCCCAGGAAGATTCTGAAAAAACCCGAACGGGTAAAGAGTCAGTCCTAGAACAGTTCCACAAAACTCGAACGCGACCGATTCTCCTGCGCAAACTCCTGACAGTTCAAGAACAAAAATTTTTCGAATGAACCTGCAGTTATGTGTATATCGTCAGTAACATGATGAAACAAACACTCACGTGATGTTGGCGATTCCGCTGCCCAAGTTGTATCTGAACTGAAGGAATCCCCTGGCCAAGTTCAGCGAAATGAAATCGCCCCTGCCGTTTTTCATTTGTCCGTTGTACAATATGAGGCCGTTGGAGGACGTCGGCATGAAAGTGACCTCGATAGAGAACGTCCTCTTGACTCCCTCCAATCGTGGGAACTGGATGAAACTGCTTCCGTTGAATTCGGGGGTGAGAATTTGCGCGTCCTTATATTCTGGAATAATGGGGTGTTATTAGAATTAGGGTATAGATGGGATTTTCAGCGGTGGCTAGGAAGAGACGATAAGTGCCGTAATTTCTGGAAAGATTCGGGATTCATTTGAAGAATATCAGTTTGACTCGAGAGGGAGCATAAATAGAATGGTGATACACAATAGAGGGGAAGCATATTGTACAGTCAACTAGGTTCTAATCGGAATTTTGTTAGAATTTAAGAGATGATTGGATAAAAGTTATTCCAAAAATGTCACATCATGTTAAAATAATATTATTTCATTTATTTCAATACCGTTAATGCGAATTTGTTCCGAGATTCATGATATATCGTGATGGTAATTTCAACCATATTTCGACTTATGTAAGAACAATCAATAAGTTACTCTTCTTATATGAATGTACATATTTGGTTACCTGTGTGAAAACAGCGAGGCGATTGAAGTTTCCAATCCGGGAGCCCGGAAGATTTTTCGTCCCGAAAATCTCGGGATTTACAAGTCGGGCTCATGGAAAACACGAATTTTTCAAATGACATAATTGCAATCTTCTCCAGTCCTTCTTTCTTCAAACGACATATCTCCAGACTCGTTGGTGTTTCTAAGGGCATATTTTATTCCTTCCAAGCACAACGCAGATGTTCAAAAATTATTCTTTCCACCACTAGCTATAAAACCTACCATTATTTACTTCTTTTCGAGGCGTAAAGTGTGCTTTTACTATATTCGTCATTTTATGAACCACTATTCAAAAAAGGCATAGCCACCTCTGATAGACATACATGATAGACAATGTGGCTTTCGCCACCGAAGATCAACTGGTGGATTACTTGCCTACGTCACCCATATATGGCAAGCTTCATTATAAGAACATCTCTAGCTGTAGCGTTAGATATATGGAAGACATTCGACCGTGTTTGGCACCAAGAACTGCTCCATGAACTACCATCAACCTAGCTCCTCAGCTATGCCATCTTTCATAGACAGATCGCTCCATGTTGTGGGGGACGTGGAGTATCGTCTGATACTATTGCCATCAATTCCGGCGTTCCACAAGGATCAATTTTGGCACCAACATTCTTCCTACCAATTGTCCTATCCACAGCTTTGTCGACGATAGAACTCTCCATACTGCGTTCTCTTCTAGAAGTCCCATTTCTCCCCAGGAAACTAACAACTTACGAGGAAGGCAAGCCAACGCTGTCAAAGAAGATATTGTGGAAATTATGGCCATGGGAATCAACAACCTAGTTGAATTCAGCCCCACCAAAACTCAAGCCTGTAAGAAATGCGGAACTCAGAGTGCCTCATATAACAATGTCTGGTACCACCATTCTTACCAAGACCACTATAATATCTGTCCTCGATATCACCATCATCGATACTCTCATGGGAAAATCATCTCCGATCAATCGCAAAAGCTGCCTCACAAAAACTCAGATTCTTGTTTCGTGCGAAAATCTACCCTACACCTCAACAGCCTCTCATGATCTAAACGTATGTTTTCGACGTCGGTGGAATAGTACTACGTCTTTTGAACAAGTCTCCAAGTAACCGTTTAAAAGTATTGTTAAAATTGTCAAAAAATTCCCGTAACAAGTGTAGTGTAGTTAATTCAAACATTACAAGTGCAGGAGCAGTGTTACTAGTGAATATAAACTTGTAATTTAGTTTCAAATCATGAAATAGTGAACGCCGCCACGACATACCGAAACAACAACAAGTACGGAAACCTCAAGCACCAACGGTCAACAATCGGCATAGTCGTAGCAAGGAACAGCTGCCGATATATATACAATATGTCTAGTATTTTCTTCAAATGTTGTAAGTCGAAACCTTTCATTCATTATATTTGTAGCAAATGCAACAGTGTTTACCATCGGAGTTGCCTTCATAAAAGTTGCAAGTCTAAGATAAAATTTTTGCGAGACAATATAATAATATGCTGTGAGGACCAGGCTGAATCTAGTATTCAAGATGAATTGAGTTTACTGGAACAAACCATCTGTGACTTAACAGCAGACAGTAAAATGAAAGATCAACATATGGAGAGACTGAATAATGAAAAAAAAAACATGTTGGACCAGGCCCTACAGTTAGAAGTGGAATTCAATGAATCATTGATCCAACATGATAAGACCAGAGCTGAGATGCAAAATCTTATTGACGAGCTACAAGAAAAAGTAGCACATAATTTCAAGAGTACGAAATGCTCTGGCACACAAACAGACAGAAGGGAACAAAATACAAAAGGAACTTCTACTGACAAACAATTTATTTTACACAAGAGTACAAAATGCTCAGGCACCCAAACAAGCAAAAGAGAGCAAATTACGATAGGTACTTCAACAGAGGAACATATATACAGTGCCGTGGCAGAAGGAACTGATAATAAGAAAGGAAAAACTTCGAACAAGAAGGAGAAGACAAATTCAATCGGAACCGAGAATTCTACATCTGATGCATGCAGCAGAAAAGCTCCTGACGAAAAAAAAACGTAGAAGGAATACTCGGAAGAGCAAATCAGGATTCAGAATTGAGGTACTGGAGAAAAAAGTCATTCCCAGTCATAGTATCGATGATAACCAGATCCAACTAGATCCTGATCTTGATTCAACGAAGCCTGGACCCCAGAACCCTATTATCATACTGAATGAAAACAAAATTCCAAGCGATCTAGAATGTGAGTTGATGGCGAGCCCCAGGAATAACGATAATCGAATGTTGATGATTCATGGTAGGAGATGTGGGCTGTTGGAACAAGGTACAAGAACCTCTCAGAGTGAGTCAATTGTTGGAAAGAATAAAATCTTGGTGTATGGTGACCAATACGGGTTAGGATTCACGAGAGTGTTGAAAACTATTTCCTATACCAATAATTATGTGGTGAATGAATTGGTTAAACCCCATAAGGAACTTTCTGAATTGACAGAAAACATATTTCAAGAAACATTGCATTATGGTAAAGATGACATAGTAATTGTGATGTTCAATTCAAATAACGTAAGCAATACTTCAAGTCTAAATGTAGCACTCAAAAATATTTTGAATTTAAGCAAATCAACGAACCTCTTATTATTACCTGAAATTAACTCAGTAAATGATTGGACCTTACATCAGATCCTGTCATTCAGAATCAAAGCTTTCAAAAAACGCAACAGAAACTCGTCTGTAACTTTGTACTCAGGAGCAAAGTATGAACGCTCAAAGCAAAACATTTATGACAGCTTGACCAATTTCTTGTTTTCCATTATGACACTCAACTCAATAGTACTTAGAACAATATTACCTAATGATTCTGTTAATATCAGTGAAAGTAGTCTTGATACTTCGAAAACAGATAACTCTGTACTACATATAAATGTTTCACTTTCGAATGATAATCGAAGTAATTTTTTAGACCACTCTCATCTCGAAAAAAACAGCAAATAGTCTCTGTTTTAACTCTTAATATACAATCAATACGCAAAAAACTGGATGATCTGTATTTACTTCTAGAAAACCTAAAATTTCCTGATATTTTGTTAATCACTGAACATTGGCTGAAAAGAGATGAACCAATTCATTTACCCAATTACAGTGTTGTTTCTAATTTTAGTAGGAATGAATTTAGCTGTGGAGGTACTCTGATTTTTATTCGAGACACCATATCAGCTCAGCTCGGGTTAATTCATTTACATAAATACGATGACATGATTGTGGAAAAGCAATTCGAATTTTCACTTGCATTTTCTAGTAGTGCTAACCTATTCTCCTTGTGTATATACAGATCACCCAGCGCAAATGGCATCATTTTTCTAGAAAAATTAGAGCTGCTTTTGAGTAAATTACCACCCAGGGCAATCGTCATTATGGCGGGCGACTTCAATATCAACTTTGATGATGAACAGTCCATTCTAACTCAACAACTGAAAAATCTACTTACATCTTTCAACTTGTACATGCACACAAACGGACCGACCAGAATAACACAATTTTCCGAAAGTAAAATTGACTACATTTGCACGAATTTGCAGAAAGAAAATGTTACAAGCTCTGTTATACCAGTAGATATTTCGGATCATGAAGCTGTGTACTGTGTTATGAAACTTGATCATGAGATTATCGAAGAAAAATTTAAATTTGGAAGGTTGTACAGTAAGACAAATTACGAAATTTTTTATAATATATGTTTAAATATGGACTGGTATTCTGTGTTGTACTCTGACGACCCTTTTCTTTCTTATCACAACCTCCTTATAAAGTGTTTTGAGTTATCATTTCCGGAACAGAAAATCAAAAATAAAAATAAAACCAAAAAAGCTTGGATAACCATAGGAATTCGCACTTCTGCCAAGAATCTGAGAAGCCTGCATTACATTAAAAAATTTACCAATAGTCCACACTTTCATGAATACTACAATAAATTTAGGAACATTTACAGAAAAGTTGTGAAAGCAGCAAAAAGTGGTTACTACCATAACAGAATCTCCGAAAGTAAGGATACCATCAGAGAAACATGGCGTATAGTGAATGAATTTCGTGGCAAAACTCATCTGGCAAATAAAGTCACCTTGGATGGCAATACTCTAAATGAATTTTATTGCTCCATAGCTGACAGACTGTCAAAAAATATAGATAAGGCCCCAGATCCAATATCATTTATGAATAACATAAATATTCCTGAAGAGTTTGTTTTATACGAGACTAATTTAACCGAGCTAATGGACACAATAAAACAAATAAAAAATAAAACTTCTTGTGGTATCGACAACATATCGATAAGAATTTTTGAAAACATGCCAATTTTTGCTCTGGAGTTACTAGTCCTACTTATCAATGACTCCTTTACCAATGGAACCTACCCGCAATTTTTGAAAACAAATGTTGTGATCCCCCTTCACAAGGGTGGTGACACCTCCGATCCATCAAACTTTCGACCCATTTCGCTCATTCCCACTCTTGGTAAAATCATAGAGAGGTTGGTAAAAATCAGGTTGATGAATTTTATATCCGCCCACAA